CCTGTGATCACAGGGACTCGGACATCACCTGGGCCTTCTCCTGTCTCCAGGAGCATGAGTAGCCAGGGCTTGGTATGGCCAACCAGTGTAGGTCAGGCCTGGGTCTGTCCCTCAGCCCCCATCTTTTGTGTTTACTTTTTGTTTCTTTGTTTTTGTAGGGGACCATGCCTGTTATTGTTCTTGTGTATGAGTTCTGGTCTCTTTCTCCTCTGGGTGTCCCCGTCTCTGACAGCAGCTGGAGTTGTTTTTCTTGTCATTGACCCCACAAGGCCCAGGGAGGTCCCTGTACACAGGAGTCTCTGTGATAACAAGAGGTGAATTTTTAACCTCATCCAGCTCTTGCCCTCCTTCTAGGGCTGTTTCGTGATTTGTTCTTGCTGTCTTTTCCCCAGCCTTTTTGAAGGAACCAGATTCTGGAATTAGCAGAGAGGATGGATCCCATAATTTCTCATCTTGGATAAATTCCTGTTGTTTTCATCCTCTGCTCACCTACCCCCTCTCTCTGCCCTCAGCTCTGGTAATCCTAGTGCTGGCTCCAATCCAAACTCATGGGTTTATTAAACAGAGTCTAATTTAGACATATATTTGGTTGGAAAATAGGGCCCATAAGCCTAGGATCATCTTTTCTGAATAGAGAAATAGAATTGTGTGCTGTAGTATGCAGGAGGGCTGGTGTGGGAAGAAGGGAATGGAAAAGGGAGAGGAGAGCAGCACTTGTGAGAAAAGTACAAAAGTGGCAAGGTTGATGTCAGTGTGAGAGGACGTTGTGCTGTACTGCCACCAAACAGCATTTGGCCTGAGGCTACTTTAATAAAGATACCAACTCTAGAATAGGCAGGTGCTCTACAGTGATTATTCATTCAACTGATATTTGCTGAGTGTACATTTGGCACACACTATTTTTGCATATGGGAAACATCAGTGGACTAAAGATGAAAATTGCTAGCCATTTCTAGAATATTCTGTAGGGGGGAAGAGGTAGACTATATATTATAAAGAAAATATATTAGATTCTTTTTGTTGCTGCAACAAATTACCACAAACTTAGTGGCTTAAAGCAACACAAATTTATTCACTTGCACTTCTGGAGGTCAGAAGTCTAAAATGGGTCCACAAGACTGTGTTCCTTCTGGGGACTTGGGAAGAATCTGTTCCCTCACCTCGTTCAGCTTCTAGAGGCTGCCCACATTCTTTGGCTTGTGTCCCTATCTTCCCTCTTCAAAGCCAGCAGCTTAAAATCTTTTCTCTGACCTCAACCTTATATCTTCTCTCTCAAACTTTGACCCACTCTGCCTCCCTCGTATAAGGACCCTTGTGATTACATCATTGGGTCAACTCAGCTAATTTAGGATAATCTCCCCATCTCAAGATCCTTACCTAAATCCATCTGCAAAATTCCTTTTTTCATATAAGGTAACATATTCACAGGTTCAAGGGATTTACATGTGGACATCTTTGGGGGCCATTATTCAGCCTATACCGCATGGTTAATAACTAAAGTGTTATGTTAGAAGATGGTAACTGTAATGAGGAATGTGATGCAGAATGTGGGTGTGTGGGGAGAGGGAAGATTACTAGAGAGTTTAGTATGGCAGCATTTAGAAGGTGACCTTTCAGGAAGGATTTGAAGGACATGAGTTATCCATGAGGATATGTGGGTCAACTTCTCCCAGGTAGAGGGAACCCCCAGTGCAAATACACCAGGGAAGGAGCATGTCTGTGTGATCCAGGAGGAGCAAGTGGGCCAGGACAGCTGGGGCAGAGAGTGACTGAAATGAGGTCAGAGGTATGGTCACATCATGGAGGCTTTGGGGATGTTAGAAGGGTTTTGACTTTTCTCCGAGTGAGGTGGGGAATTATAAGACAATTTTGAGGAGAAGAAAAATATGGTGTGGCTTCTCTTTTAAATTGATTAATCTGACTGCTGTGCTGAGAAGAGAGTTGATATTTAAGAGGGGACCAAGAAAGTCGGGGAAAGTGTAGGAAATTCATGCAGTGCTTCGTGTAGATGTCAGTTGTTTTTTTTTTTTTTTTTTTTTTTTTTTTTTTTTTTTTTT